TGAAGTGGTGATATAATAAGGTATAGATCATAATATAAATTGTATACTTATGGTATTTTTTTAGTTGTGCTATAATTTTATATTTTTCCTTGCAATGTTTTGCTAAAAATGGACTGAAATTAAAGGAAGGAAGGGTAAAGGGAAAAAGAGAGTCTATGCATGCATCTTTTTATCATATTGGTGACTTTTTCCAATTAATTAATTAATTTTATTTACTTTCATTATTATTTTTAAAATTTGCTATAGGGCACATGCACTCACCAGAGAAAGACAAAGAGAGAGAGAAACAAGTCACCTAGTCCAGGACTTGAACTGCAGTTGACAGCCCAGTGTCTTAACCAGCATGAAAACTGCTGGCCCCACATATAACAGATTTTATTATTTTTACTTTTTTATGATGCTAACATTTAGTAAAGGTCTTTGTTTCAAAATAAGTTTTACAGCATTCTTAGTCCATTAAAATACAAATCTCCCTGCTCAAGTAATAGGTTAGGGGTAACTAAGAAGATATTACTAAAAGTGATTTAAAAGCAATTAAAATAATTTTTCAGATATGTTTCCCTTTGTCCTCACTTTTTAGGTAAACTAAAGCAATGTTAGCTCACTGAAAGAATGAGCAAGATATCTCAGTCAAAGATATTTTCTCCGATTTCCTATAGAATTAGAAATTTGGGGACTAGCAGTTGGCGTAATGGCTATGTCGCTGGACTCCCATATAGCCAACTGCATTCAAGTCCCGGACCCGGTGACTTAAACTCATGCTGGATGTGTGTGCGTGCGTGCCCAAGATACCGAGAGGAGAATGGAGGGGAAGGGATTGCAGCATGGCCATCCCCCCTAGGGGGTGATTTCTGTCTATTTCTTTCGGTCTTTCTGGCAAGTGCATGCATCCTATAACAAAAACAAACAAACAAACAACAACAAAACAAAAACTTAAAACAAAAAACAAAACAGAAATCTGTGGGAATACAAACTTTTCTCCCCCATTAGTGGTCCTCAAACTCACATCTGTGACCTCAAGTTTGAATGTAAGAGAACTGTAAACACACATAAGTGTCCTAGTATAACAACTGAATCAGAGTCTCTTGAGGTGAGACCCAGAAAACTTCATTTTAAACAAGCTCCCCAAGTAATTTACACACATATCGAAGTTTGAGCAATGTGGTCCAGGCCAAGGAAATGAACAAAGACACAAAGCAGGCTAGCAGTATGTGATGGGGCTGAAACAGTGAGCGTTGTGTGGCTGTCTTCTACTATTTTCACTCAATGGCAAGCAACTATTTGCTCCATACCTAAGAGCAGTCATAGACCAAGAGTTCTGGAGCAACTCAGAGATGGTTTAAAAGAAAATAAAATATGCTATGTGCATGTGGGTGAGGTCAAGAATAGAAATAGTAGATGTGATAAGAGCCCCCTGCAGCCCCTGCAAAATAAAAGTCTTGTAAAAGTGCTGGGGAAAATATTGTATGCACTGGGAATTTAATTCTTGGATAAATTCCAGTTATTGCAATTTAGTAAGATTAATTTGAAAAGAATATGGCATAATGATCAGGTAAAATTGTTGTAAAGCCATCTTAACAGGATGAGAAAAAATGATACATTTATACTTGTTTTTAAGAGTATTTAATAAAATAGCAGCATTATGATTATTCTATGTACCATTTTTCAATATGGTTAAATGATATGGAACATGTAGGTTTCTTTGTGCAGAAACTGCTAACAGTTACTGTGCGACATGAGGAAGCACTCATTCTGTTCACATTTAGACAACAAAAGCAGGCAATAAGAATATGGAGTTCAAAAAGAGAAACTGTCCACCTTTTCAGACATGCCCACCTCAAGCTTAGCAAATTGTAAATCATTGCTGCTTAATCAAGTTATTCCTTTGCTGCGTCCTAAACTTCAGGAGTATTCATAATCAAAAATCAAGATTTCTTTGTGCTCTGCTAGCCTCTTCTCATTCATTCATTTTGTGACTTAATTCTTGATTATTACTTCTAAAAACAGTATCTTCAAGCTAAACATCACATTTGTGCTTTTTTGTAGCTACCTTCTAAAGAGCTATTGAATGTGTCCTATTTTTGATTTAAAGTACAAAATGCCTATTCGCTACTTATCAGATGCAGCATCAACTAAATTCCTAGTTGTCAGATTCCATGTCTCTAAAATGTGATAGACAGAGACAGAATGAGAGAATCTGCTTATATAAACAAAATGTTTGGGGTTTGATTTTTTATTTTAAAGCATAACATTGCAGAGGTAAATTCCATAAAACTGTAGTAGAGCAAAAACACCAGTGGAGATAGCAAATGGAGAAGAGGTTAACCCGTATTTCCTGTCCTTGTAAATATTTGAAAGCAGTTAATTTTATAAGTTGGGAATAGTTGCCCTATATCCACAATAAAAACATGTCAGTATTTTATGTGAATTCCTTAGAGTTAAATATACAGGCCGTGCTCATGGCCTGGGGGCCAGGAATTCCAAGCACTGAGGATGCTAAGTCATTTACCTTCAGTTTGGGGTGGAAAAGTAGGAAATGAAGTCCTCCTGAAGTCAAGGAGAAAAATGGAGATTTAAAAAAAAAAAATGGACATTTCCTTAACAAGTAACTTCATGCAAAGAAACATACACACACTTTTACCCACATGCACGCGCACACACACACACACACACAAACATACACAAAAGAAAATCTCAATTCCTGGATACATATGTTTATAATTTTGTAAATAAAACCACCCTTTTAGTACACAGGAATTGGATTAAGTGATTTTGAGCTTAAGATATTTAAACCTACAATGATTGTTAGTTGAGATTACTATCATGACAGTCTGAGGTAATTTGAATCATAGGTGCTCACATTCATCATGAAAGCGTGGTCTACACCCCTACCAACATCTTTCCTATGCAAATGACTGCAGATTGAAACACTCATCAATAGGTGCTATAGTCTGCAAATAGTTTCCTTGTCGGCTTGGCAACTGTGACTCATGCTGTCCGACAAGTGAAAAGAAAACCGCAGTCAGCAGCTATTCAGCAGCAAATCATTAATTAATTACATTTTAATGAACCTTAAGCGGCTACTGCGGGAGCCTTCAGAAGTTTATCAAAAATGAAGAATTGCCTTGTGTAAATCTTAAGCTGACTGAAAAAATTCAGAGGGCCTGAGGGTAACAGTTCTATGTAATTTCCATATATCTACTAAAACTTTATAGCTTTAGTATTGTTAGTGTTTTAGCATTTTA